GACTGGCTTTAGTGTGCTGCTAACTGATAAAATGCTGCCAGTCTCCCCGAGCTCTGCCAATGCTGAGGCTCACTGACCTTCCACTGAAGATTCCTTTTGAACCGGGGGAAAAAAGACAAAAAATAAAAAAAATAAAGGGAAAAATCCAGGCGGGTGGGAGGAGGCTCCAAGTTTTATCACATTGGGAACAAAACAACAGAGACGTCAGAAGAGCTTCCGTTCCCAAACACGCATATATATGCTCATATATCCACACACACAGACACACACAAGCATTCAAAAAATACCAGCATGGTAAGCTAGTACCAGCGTGGCTTCACAGATGATTAAGTGTAACAGACAAGGCTGCTCGATGTCTTGCAATCACACACACACCTGCACAACTTAAAACAGCAGAACTAGTGCGAAAATACTGCCACACACAGTGTTAAAAAAAGCCAAGTGAAAGCCAAAATCAACTTAAACTATGGTGTTTGAAGGAAATGGAAAAAAAAAAAAATAATAAAAAAAAAAATAAAAAAAATAAATACATAAAATAAGATAATAAACTAGAGCTGGGAGATTTTGCCTAAAATCTAAATCTCGATTACTAAATATATTTTAACTCTATTAAGATTAATTATTACTATTATTATTATTATTTTTATTTATTTATTTTTTTTTTGCCCTCATAGTGCATAGACCAGTTTTGTACAGTAAATATGCTCAAATATTACAAGTGAGAGATTTATAATTGAAGGGAGCAATACTTGATTTAAAATAATTTCATTTAAAATAAAAGGAAACACACACCATGTACTATCTATGTTTAATTATTTTTTTCTTAAATTATTCTATTTCTAAACATTTTTTTTCAATGTTTTTCATATTCATAGTAGAAAATAAGCAGCATCTCTTCTAAGTAAAATAACCCTTGCATATCTTGTATATGTATATATATATATATATATATATATATATATATATATATATATATATATATATATATATATATATATATATATATATATATTTTTTTTTTTTTTTTTTTTTTTTTTACCTTTTTTAAAACATTAATGCATATCTCGCATCTTCTGTAAACAAATATTTTAATGTACATAATCATTTTAACTTAATGGATAATATGCTGTCTCAAATCATCTCTAAATCAGATTCTAATCAAGGTCAGTGAAGCGCAGAGTAAGGCTCAAGAGTAGGTCCATCGTCCTTCTTGACCACAGATCACATGTGGCTGCAAAGTGGCCACAGAAGTAGAAATCAGCCACAGCCTTTAACACGTGGCATGTAGGGAAAGTAACTGAAAAAATCTTAGATGGATTATAGGTTCTGGATGTCGATAGCCCTGAAATAAATATACAAAAAAAAAAAAAAAAAGATTTATTCTGTACATAATCATCTAAAAAAAAAAAAATATATATATATATATATATATATATATATATATATATATATATATATATATATATATATATATAAATAAAATAGCCACTGTTACAGGAATACACCGAAATCTCAGTTTTAGACATATACTTTTGAATAAATGGCAGTCGCTGAGAAAATGAAGCTTATGTATTGTATTAGGTTTGAAGTAAAATTCCAAGCTTTGAAGACTAAAAACGTAAAAAATAAAATATAGAAATGTAGTGGTCAAAAACGTGAAAATCTTTTTATAGTGAAAACAACATTTTCACAATTGTTATATAGCCACACACATACACTGCCTGACAAAAGTCTTGTCGTCGATCCCAATTGCAACAGCAACAAATAATAACCTGACTTCTAGTTGATCATTTGGAAAAGTGTAGGAAGGCAGATTTTTCCCGATGAATCATCTGTTGAACTGCATCCCAATCATCACAAAAACTGCAGATCTACTGGAACTCGTATGGACCCAAGATTCTGATACAAATCAGTCAAGTTTGGTGAAGGAAAAGTGCCCATTATATTACAAACCACAAGAGAGGGCAAATTAATCAGCAGGATGGAGCTACTTCTCATACTTTAGCCTCTACATCAAAATTACTGAAAGCAAAGAAGGTCAAGGTGCTCCAGGATTGGCCAGCCCAGTCACCAGACATGAACATTATTAACCATGTCTGAGGTAAGATGAAGGAGGAGGCATTGAAGATGAATCCAAAGTATCTTGATGAACTCTGGGAGTCCTGCAAGAACCCTTTCTTTGCCTACCAGATAACTTTATTAATAAATTATTTGAGTCATTGGAGAGATGAATGGATGCAGTCGTCCAAGCTCATGGGAGTCATGCACAATGTTAATTCTTTCTCCACTGCACCATGACTTATTCTTTACTGTACATTATTTATGTTACGTGACAAGATTTTTGTCTAAGCAAAGTCAGACCTAATTAAAAATCAAGGCATGATTATATTTTATTTTGGTAAAATAAGCATAATATAGAGGCCTTAGCCTTTTATATAAGCCACTTCTGATAACAAATGATCAACAAGAAGTCAAGTTATTAGATGTAGCCCTTAAAAACGTATAGCTTGTGATCCAAATATAAATTTTCTGTACATATGAACACATTGTCACAAATGAATAAATGAATGAATAATGAATGAATGAACGAATTAATGAATTCAAAATGTCTATAGGGTCATGTAATAAATTCATAATGAAACAATCCACTAATTAAATTCAAAACCCTGTCCTTCCCCTTATTTCTTGCATGTACAGTAATGAACCATCAAACTAATTAGTCCACCATTAATTGGCCAAAGAGATAAATGAAGCTGATGATAACAAAACTCTATTGTCCTTTTATTATGCTTTTATAATGCACTTCTTAAAAGCCAATCTATAACTGAAACTGGCTCTTGCAATCTGGGGGAAAATTACAACTAACGCTCGAGAGACATTTAAAACAAGATTCATAAAAGATTGCATCGCAGCTCTCCATTAATGTAGGCGATGAGTAAAACGCACACTAATTTAAACTTGGAACTAATGCCATGCACAAATACAAGAGCTGACAGTTCAGCGATAGTTCACTTGGATAAAACTCAACCCAACCCAGAGAACAGTAAAATCAGGGAAGTATTGTCCACACTACAAAAGCACGAATGAAAATATCAAATGACATTTTGTAGTACTGTCAGTCAGCATACCATCTCATGAAGCGGAGTCAAAATATGGGCAGCGCTTCATCTCTTTAGTGAAGGGGTGATGGTCAGGTCAGCCTCATCATCTCCCTGCTCTGGATTACAGATTATAGGCGTAATCCGGCATTGAGGACATGCTGCGAAATACTAAAAACAACCAAGGCCAGAAGGACAAACTATACTATTGAAAACACTGATGCGTGATTAAAATTCACATATTTTAATAAAAAAAGAACAAGGATTTCAGAAGTCATAGCTTTTATATTATATGTCAAATTATTTTACAATGTGCACATACATACAGATGTTGGATTTGTGGATCAGTAAATCACTGCAAATCTTTGAAAATAATAATAATAACAATAATATATATACACTACCGGTCAAAAGTTTGGGGTCAGTTTATATATTTATATATATATATATATATATATATATATATATATATATATATATATATATATATATATATATATATATATATGTATATACGTATATACGTGACATCAGGCTGCATTTTTACAAAATGTAAAATATGTTGCTCCAGTTTAGTTTGGTTGCATATATCAGATGACAAATCCACTAGAGAATGCTGTCTACATTTTTGTAAATCTGAAATGTGCTACTTGGGTTTTTTTTTTTATTATTATTTTTTTTAAGTTTCATATATGCATTCTTTAGAAGGTGGGGTTTGTTGTACAGATCACCCAGTGACCACTGTCCAAATTCCTCCCTAAATCCAACCGATACAGTTTTTAAAAGTAAACAGAAGAGAAAAGTGCATTTTAAACACATAGTTTTACCTTGATTACACTGAGCTTTGACCTTTTTTTGTGGAACTGCTGCCTATAGTGGATCCAAGAAACTGTAGTGAAACTGACTTTGTAGTCAGAGTCCCAAAGAAATTAAAACTAACTATATGATTTTGTTAGCTCACATTGCCAGTTTGCCAGTATGGTGAACAATTGATCTGTGCATGCTATTAAGAAAAAAGAAAATGTTTTCCCTGGTAATCTTTAATTGAAATCTGTAAAAGCAATTCCTGTTTGTTTTCAGTTAAATTGTCAGATTACATACATCTTAATGGGCATGGTAACATATTTAACCATGTTGTAGCAAATACCAGTTTTTTTAACAACAATCAGAAATGGAAAGTAGGAGGAGTCTGTTAGTTTGTAATAACTTTCCCCAAACCTTTTTTCCCATCTTTCAGAATAAAATGCCTATTTTACTACATCCACTCATCTTGCAGTAGAAAAAACGAGCCATACCCACAGTTGTGTCATTTAATATTCAGTTTCTGTAAAAACTGCATCACAAATAAAAAATAAATAAATAATGGTTGCAGCTTCCAGTTCATGGGGACTTTAAGTACATTTTTGTGATTTCACAAAAAAAAAATAAAATAAAAAAATGAAGGCCAAAACAAGTATTTTTAATCAGCCTGAGCTAGAACCAAAATTATTATTTGATAACTTCTGCACGCAGTCCAAACTTAACAAAATATAATACAGACAAACATTAGGACACAGTAAATATGTGCACCAAGTTTTGTCCAATTCTGTCAGTGGGAATCTATGATCAGAACCATTTGATTTATGCATTTGCTATTACTATATATCCTCAAGCACAGGTGTCAAATCCTGCTCCTAAAACGCCAGTGATTTGCAGAATTAATCTCCAAATTGTCCCAACACACTAGCAACAAACAGCTTCATTAGTTGGCTCAGGTGTGTTTAATTCGGATTTGAGCTAAACTCTGCTGAACAGTGACCCTACAGAAGCAGGACTTGACTAGCTTGTCCTAAATACGGATTTGATTTTCAATAAGGATAAGAAAGGCAGAGCGTGAACTGAGATGCACATTTCTTTGCTTACCTGCTGAAACACGAGGGCAGTCGTTGAGCATGGGGTCCACAAGAGTATCCAGGGGCTCAGGGCTCGACACCCAGTTACAGCAGTGCTGTAAGAGGGGAGAAAAAGAAAGAGGGGAGGGAGACAGAAGCAGGCAATTAGGTACTTTAGAAACATGTCACACTGACAGTTTTGGCTGCTTTTTTTGAGTGGGGGAAGAAGTGGGTACAATGCTGGTGGCCCTCCGAGGGGTATGACCTCGCCAACCTCCCAATGTCATCAGTCTGGTTTCTGAGACACCATCTCGCCACTTGTCCCCAGGAGTGTTAGTCTACAGCTAAAACAGGTTTAATTAAGCATGCTTTGTTGAAACAAACAATCACACCCTTAAGCTAATACAGTATTCCATGATTTTGCTCTGTGCATGGTGGCAGAACCAGTCCAGTCCAGTCTCATGAGGAAATGTGACTATTTCACATATTGTAAGAAAAGAGGCTAATTGTACGTGCTCATATGTTTTAATCTGTATGAAAATGCCGCCCCCAAACCCCATCCTTTATTGGGAGATGAGCAATCATGCTAAAATGTGCAAATGAGAACGTACACATTAATACAAATTAGCCACTAATTTAAACATTTACAAATAGGGTTTGGTACCACAAGCGTGTAACCGGTATGCACCGGACCAAATGAAATTCTGTCTCTAATTTCGGTACAACTGGTGCTTCGACAAAGATGTAAAAAGCATCAAAAGGTGCATCAAAAGGCACATATAGGTACACATTGTGTCACATCATCTCTAAACATTTAATTCTAAACAACTTTGAAGAATACACAAACACCTTTGGTGATCTTACACGTTTGTTCTTTTTGCTAAGCAACGTATAGAAGGCCACTTGAGCAGGAGAACACATCTGGTGATCAACTCCCTTCAGATTCATCAACAAGCATGATCCCATTCATCAAATTTGCTTAAACTTAGCACTCTTAAGTATGGCTATATTCTACAAGCAAGGATTCTGACACAGAAAGTGCAGTAGATGCTTTTACAAAAGTTTTGTGTAAGAGGAAAACACGTCAAGCTTGATGAAACATTTGAGGACACAGGGAATCAACTTAAAGGCAGAGAAATGACAGCCTTGACAGCTTGTAACAATATCTGGCACTTGCAATGACTATGTTTATCAGTAATCTGAATAAGACAATAACATGATGAAGGTGTTTACATGAGTTGCTTATTGAACATTCCTTTCACTTTCACCGTTTTACATGTTATAGCACATTGATCGATTAACGAAGTTGCGTCATCATGCTATTCAATGTTTTCGCTGAAGTTTCATGTAATTTAGTTTCATACCACACGCCGAATGGAAAGAAAAAAACTGCTGCATTTTATGATGTTTGTGTGGTCCTGTGACAGCCGTGTGTGTACAGACTGTCTTGTCACCAAATGCAGCAAAAAAGTCCAACAGTACATGATGGTTGTAGTTTGATTGCTGTGTTTCCATGCCTGCACTGCACTTCAATAATGTGACTAAAATCGGCATACTCCACGTTTTAATTTCTTTTCTGCTTAGTTCAATTATGACTTTAGTCGGATTAAGGTCTTCACAAATCGCTATTTACATGGTAGACTTTTAATCAGAGAATTGTCTTATTCATAAAATCGGATAGCAAAAGATGTCCATGTAAATGTACTCAGTGACAACTCAATCTCCAACACTAGAAAAGAGGAGTTCCCTGATTTTGATGACAGCAATGTTAACTGCATAATGCTAATCTTGCATTCATGCTAACCAACAAATGGTCAATAGAAATATAATGCAATTCAAATATATAAAATGTGAATTGATGTATACCAGGGCTATTCAATTGGCAGCCCGCGGGCCGAACCCTGACCCAAGACAAATTGTTATGGGCCTCCAAATAGGGTGACCAAGACGTCAAATATAAATTTATTTCAATCGAAAAATGGCCGCTATAGTTATGAAGTGACGTGCGTCTGTTCAATACAACACGGGTTGTAGTTAAAGGCTGTGCAGAGAGTAAGTCAAGTGACATTAAGTAAGTGACGCAGCCTACCGAAAACATTTGGATATGTTTGTAGAAAAGCCCTTTAGTACAATGCAATGATATCATTAATAGGGATGCAATGATTAGCCGATTTAACTAATAACCATGCATTAATTAATTGTGGTTAATGAACAGTAAAAACTTCTCAATGCTGCGTTTCTGTTGCACGGAACAAAACATGCTGCAACTAAACAAAGTTATGCCACGTGTGTGCTAGTTTAAAGTTCTGAGCTTGTACCGAGGCTAATATGCACGCACATTGGATTAACTATAGCAACAGGCGATTCACATATTCCGTCTTTTTAGCACGTAAGTTCATTATTTACAATGGAAACGGGCACATATTTGGCCGGTGTGCGCATGGCTTGTAAGCGGACCAACACTGTAAAAAATGCAGGGTTCCAAACAATTCATTCATGTTGTTCCAACACAAGTCGATTGAGCTAACTTAAAACTTTTAACAAATGTATGTGGATTGAACATAAAAAACTTAAGATGGCTCAATGAAATCTCAAGAATTGTGTTGATTCAGCTTATTTTAGTTTGAACAAGCAAAATATATATTTTTTGAGTGCACTTGCGCCCTCCAAGGGCACACTGTAGAAATGATAGTGGTGAGATTTGTGTGTGCTTTTTTTATTGCAATGTAAACAAAATATACGTTAGATATAAAAAATATCAAATTATTAAAATGATTATCTATGTATGAGCGCAGATAATAACAGTTTATTTAAATTCTTAACTAATGTATAGCTTAAGTTAACAATAGACCAATACAATTTTTCTTTATTATTATTTCTATTTATTTATTCATCGTTCTGTCATTTATTTCATTGTAAAATTATCTTAAATCAATATGTTTAAATCAAAAACATTTTAAATTTATGAGAGAAATTATAGACTATTGTTTGTATTGACTATTGTTTTGTTTTTTTGTTTTTTATGAATATTTTGTGCTGTATTTGTTAACTGAGCAGCAATAAACAACGTTTTAAAACATAAGCAGTTTTCTTGTGATTTTCTAAACTAGCAGTGTTTTGAATTTAACAAATGCATAATAATCATGATCACCATGAAACCATGATTATTCCTCAAGACTATAATTGTACAACCAAAATCTATAATCGTTGCATCCCTAATTGTCATGCAATTTAATACATAACCTACATAACATATGAATGTGTCTGAATGAAAAAGAAGCCTTCTAGAGCAATACACTGATTTTGTTGTGCTTCGAAATAGAACATTTGAATGTGTTTGTAAAAAAAAAAAAAGCCACTTTTATAAATGCAGTGATGTTATGTAGTTTCAAAATACAACATATTAACGTTTTAACGTAGAAAAAGCCAATGTGGGTGTGTTAAAGAGCAAAAATACAGCATATGGGCTCTTATATTGCTGTTGTGTCATCACTTATATTGCAAGTCATATCTCTCCGGCCCCTCATTTGGGAGGCTTTTCATGAACTGGCCTCCATAACACACTAATTGAATAGCCCTGATGTATACTTTCAACTTTAATTAAATAGTTCAATTAAAATTCTTTTTTTTTTCTTTTTTGTCGTGTAAACTTTTTCCTAGGATTATCTGTCATATTTTTAAGACTCGAAAGTATTGGTTCAAGCACCTTTTAAAAGTATAAATTTAGCACCAGTATCAAAAAAATAAAATAATAATAAATAAAAAAAATAAAAAACAAATGATGCCCAACCCTATTTACAAAATGGCAGTGATATTTCATCTGACAGAACATGTATATTGGGAAAAAAAATCATATTGTTTAAATGGGACAGTGCCTAAAAACACCACTCATAACCATATCCCTAATTGGAGGATGAGCAAATCATACCAAAATGTACAAGTTTAAGTTCCACTAAAAGCCACTAAATCAAAAAAAATTACAAATTGCTATGCGGCAACACTCAGCAGAACATGTATTATGTAAACAATCATACAGTTTAAATGGGCTGTAGAGTCAAAAAAAAAAGTTACAAAGGCATGCATGGAAAAGTGGGGTCTGGAGATAAGATAAAAGAAGCTGAATAGAAGACAGAGAAATTCAAACGAGATTAGTGTATTGCAGCTGGCGTCCTTGTGAAGCGCTGCTTATCTGGGGTTGTTTACTTTCGCAGACATCGCACTGTCAGCCATTACCACTACCGAGGGGACTGTGACCCACCCGTCCACACAAACATGGATGGTAAGACAGACAGATACCCACAAACACAATGCTATCCAACTCTCAACCAAATCCCGAGACGAGCTCCCCTGACAGAGCGGGCGATTGCAGCACCCCAGAAACCCCACAAAAGACACTCGCATACATAAGCAAACACATGACAGAGCCCCAGGTCACATCACACCTCAGCCTGTCAACCTCCTTCACCTCTGAGCCCAGTGTCACCCCAGGGGTCACCACACTCCCACCCTACTGGGACCCTCGATATGTGTGTGTGCATGTGTGTTTGGGTAACAGGGCAGGGGTGTATATTGAAAAGCACAGGAATGGGATTTGGAGTTCCATCAATCTTTTTGGCCATTGTTTAACTCATAATTCTTTGTCTCATGATAAATCAGATCAAAATAGTATAATGATTGTTAGGTTTAGGGTCGTAATAGATGTGAAAGAGGCATCTGTGCTGTACAGAAAAGTTCAATCTTTGAAATCAAGTGGATGACAGAAGTGTAAATGTTAACAATAATGCAAATGCATTATGCAAATATTACAATATTACAATAGGAAGTTGATCCAGAATAAAGTAAGTCAGATGCAAACAAACATGAAGACACTCCTTAAACCAATAATAAGCCAATTTTAAGAAAAAAAAAAAAAAAACATACATGGTTAATATGGCTACATATATTTATCGGAAAAAAAAACTAACAAAAAAAAAAACAGCACACATACTTTTACAGTGAAATATTGCAATACAAAATTTTGTATATAACATTTCATTCATTCATTCATTCATTTTCTTTTCGGCTTAGTCTCTTTATTAATCAGGGGTCACCACACCAGAATGAACCACCAACTTAT